GGCAGAAAAAGATGAAATGGTGGTTTCTATCGATAGTCGATAATTGTTCGACCATCGATAGAAGTATCGTCAGACGGAAACCATGGATAGTCGTGTCGATAGTATCGACGGTTTGTAAGCCCTAATTCAAAATTCAAAAAGCTTGGTAGTTAATAGTAGATAATGCTCTGTAAGCGAAAATATCTACGGGTTTAACATGGTTCCGACCTAGCAAGCCTAGTCACAAACTTTAAATATGCAAAAACATAAACCATATCTATAGGCTGGGGTCTGGGTCGCCAAACTTCAAAACAACGTCAAAAATACTTTTAGAAATGCCTGATAAAGACGAAACAATAACAACTAAAAAATTTAAATAAAAGTGTAGGGCGGGACGGGGTGTGATTTGGAAAATTACCAAGCGCAATAATATTTAAACTTGTATATTTTAAACTGAATCTCAATGTTTAATTTGTCGGTGTTATGTGATTTATGCAGCAATTGCTAAAACCCCATTTTGATCTTATTTTTTTAGGTATGTTCTTTTTGGTGAATATACATTTTTGGGATTTTAGTAAACTAGGACTGAGGAGAAGCTCGGCCAAACACTAACATATGTGTAAGCGCCAATATATTATTATTATTATATTATTAACTTAACTGTGGGCTCGTCGGTTCGAATCTACTGAAAGAAGTCTGATGAGGAAATGTGGTGATTTCCGAAATAGCTATCACTTCTACCATTTTTACAAAATTATTGTTGCTTTTCCACAATAAGTTTCTCATTAAAAACGGCCTCGAGCTCAATAAAAATTGTTGAATATAATTGTTATAAGGCCACAAAATAACAAAAACAAATAACTTAAGGACGAGCACACCTAAAAGTTAAACATTATAAAAATATAATTATTAACAAAAACCAACAAAACCAACAACCACAGGATCAAGTGTAAATCGTAGCGGAATAGCTGCGCTTGATTGTGTTGGCCTAGCAAATGAAAAAGTGGGAAAAAAGCAACGATAATTTACAAGGCTGACTTAGCACAGTGCGTAGGCAACTGGCTGAGTCTCGGGGATCGTCGGTTCGAATCCTACTGAAAGAAGTCTGATAAGGAAATGTGGTGATTTCCGAAAAAGCTATCACTTCTACCATTTTTTCCAAATTATTGTTGCTTTTCCACAATAAGTTTTTCATTAAAAACGGCCTCGAGCTCAATAAAAATTGTTGAATATAATTGGACATATACATATACACGTATGTTTATACATAGTACATATAAATACCTATTTCGGTGGTTTTGTTTTACTTAACGTATTTTTTGATTTTCCTGTTCGCGGTTGCTTTACTTTTTTTTCGCTTTGAATTTTTCGTTTGCACATATTAAGGGCGTTCACCGTTCACGATGTGTTTGCAAAGAAATAGGTAAACTGCTAAGGAGTTGGGAATTTAGATTAATAAAACTTCTTGAATTTGCCTGGTGAATTTATAATTTATATAAGGTACTTTTTGATACATTTTTTTTGATGTATTTAGTTCGTTAGTATAGTATAGTATATAGTATAGTTTTTTTATCATTATTATTTTTCTCTTTACTTTTATTTGTTTGCCTTCTTGCATTATAATTTGTAGATTGATTCATTTTCTCATTAGTGTTAGCCGAATTGAATTTCGATTTTAGTTTTTAGTATCATAATGATTCTCCTTTTTAAAACAAATTCAGATTCGCGTAGTTTTATTATATAGTCAGTTCTATTTCCTTTGATTTGATTTGATTTTATAATTAGTTATACGGTGAATAAATTGTAACCAAATGAAGAGATGGTAATAGTTATTTCATGGTTGAGGAGATTCATTTAAGATGATCTTTGGTGTGGGTGTTACACCAGGGCTTAAGAGGGGACGTGAGGGCGTTGACTAGGGACTGGACTGGGACAGAACTGATCGACGAATAGACAGACGTACTATGTCAGGCTTAGGCGGCATTGTAGCAACAGTAGGAGTCAGACCAACGCCCATGGCTGCGTAAGCGAAAGACGCAAAGCGGGTGGGACGACTCTACCTGACAGGACGGGCCTTCTTTTCAACTTGGCTTTCCCTCTTTCTTATGTTTGTTAGTACCGCTAGTACTGATGAATAGGCATGATAATTTTGTTTACGTAGGGAAGGTAAGGTGGGCGAAAATAACCCCCCCATCCGGCGAGCTAGCCTGGGCTTTGCCACCATGTCTGTGAACCGCCTTCACCTCTGCCAACTGACATCCGCGTAACAAGACGGACAGACAGACGGACATGGCTAAATTGACTCAGCTCGACGTTCTAATCATTTAAGTATACATGTTAATGGGTCTATCTTTTCTTATTCTGGTACTTACAAACATCTGACCAAAGTTGTAATACTATTTCATGCTCATGAAAGGTATAAAAAGAGCCAAAATGTTCTAAGCGAAGAAGAAGTAATAAGAGCCGCACTTTGCTAAGCAAAGAGCCGCATTTGGCTCAAAGAGCCGCATTTTCCCACCGTTGATATATACTATGTATAGGCTAATCATTTTATGTTTAGCTTTAGAGTTCTGGTATAAATAAGTGCAGTACTTCTTTTTTCGCTTTTGTACTTCGTACTTCGAAGTACAGTCAAATGTACTTCTTTGCGATATTTTGTACTTCAGGAGGGAGATTCTGTAACAAGTTAGCGACAATTTTCGGATCGCTAGGATATAAATGGTTTTGCGTCAAAAAGTACGATAACGATTGGAAAATTGTCGCTAACTGGTTACAGAATCTCCTCCCAGGTCCTGTACTTCTCCGATCTTTTGGACGATCGTCACATGGCCTGGGCGATAAATTCGTTCAAACCATTAAAATCGCCGGGGACCGATGGCATCATACCTGCGAACCTGCAAAAGGCTCTGAAGGTGTCGTTCAATTGGTTTGATCCTATTTATGCGAACTGCGTGAGGACCGGGTACATCCGCAAGGTTTGGAGGGTAGTCAGTTTTGCGTTAATCCCGAAGGACGAAAAAGGCTCTCATGTTTCCCCTAGGGATTTTAGGCCTATCAGACTATTCGTTTTTGCTAAAAACGCTAGAGAGACTGAAATACCTGTACATAAGAAATGCGATTCCTGGTGACTCTCTTTCAAGAGCTCAATATGCTTATTGCAAGAAGAGGTCGGTAAATACCGCACTGCACACATTACTAAAGTGCTCAGAGGAAGCCTTCACGCATGAAGATTATGCAGTAGGGGCCTTCGATATCGAAGGAACCTTTAACAATGTCACTATAGAGGTATAAGTCAAGTATATTCATAATCTAGGTGTTGAAACCAACCTAATAAGCTTATTTCGTGACAGAACTGTCGCGGCGGAGTGGGGGAGAATCTGAACTCAGTGCAGAGCCAACAGGACCACTCCACAAGATAGTGGATTGCGGTTGTAAACGACCTTCTATACCCTTCTATAGGGTGATCGCCTATGTAGATGATGTAGAACTTTGGTTAAGGGACGATTTCTATAGACCCTTTTTGATCTGGCTCAAGGTTACCTGAACCAGGTAACAAGGAGGGCAATCAACGGCGGCTGTCGTAGAAGCCTAACATTGAGGAAAGGGTAGGAAAGGTGTCGGTTGCCTTGTACCGCTGTAGGGTCGGTAAAAGGTGTGCTCTCTCGCTCAAATTAGTTCATTAGCTCTAGGAAACCAGATTTATGCCTATATTGTTTCAAGGAGCCTTTGTGTGGTGAAACTAACTAGAGAAGGCTACACTAGTATAACAGAAATTAGCGGAGCATTAGGAACGACACCCACGCTTAACATACATATGTTGAGAACGGTACCTGCAAATATTGCAGAAAGGACTGTCGTAGCACGAACTGCTATTAGGCTAAGGGAAACCGGGTCCTTTTGTAACATAAAAAAGGAGAAGAAGACGGTTCGTTGCTGAAGAAAATATTTTTATAGGGCCCTTTAAACACGTTATCTCTCAAGGGCTAGTGATGGGGGTTCTGACAGGACATTGTGAGAATAGAATTTCGACGGATCCTTTCGTATCAGCTGTCAAGAGGAAGATAGATGGAATCATCTCCACACTTTCTTTTAGATTGCCCAACCTTCGTGAGGCTAAGATGGAAGCATTTTGGCTCGCACTTCTGAACAAACACTGAGCTCTCATGGATCGAAATTAGCCGCATTAGAAATTTCGTAACCGGCTCGCGGCGTTAACTTAGCCCAACCTAACCTGTACTTCTTTGAGCTATGAAATAGTTGGTCACATTAGGTATAAATAAAGGCTCTGGGACACTAGAGCGTCAGTTATCTACCATAATGCCTACGACACGTAGTCGCGTTAACGGTAAGTTATTTCTTCATGGCGAAACCCGGCTAGTAAAATAAAATCTACGCTCATCAAAACTAAGCAGAAAATATTCGTAAGTAAAAAATAACTAGTTATATATGGGCAATTCTCAATTAGTTCGAGCTTTCGCATTACTCGACCATGTTTATTCGGACACAGAATTTTCGCTGTTTTATTAACAAACATCAAGTTACATATGTTGTGTAGACTATGTAAATGCAAAATAAGAACCACCGCACATATTTTCTAGCCAAATATGCA